AAAATAGACCATTTGTTTTTACGTCCAAATCTCAGGTTGTGCATGAAGTTTGATGTAACACTGTGACAGACAAAGGTCATAGCGTTTTGGTAACATGAATACTATACATGGGATTCAAAATGGAATTAAATTATTTTTTTCGACTTTACCATGCTTCATAATGTGTTATATAAATTTGATGATGGCCAATTTTGATGAAGTGAGGGTACCGTATTTATCCGGGTAAGAGCCCAGGGTCTGAAAATAGAAAATTACCAAAAAATAGGGGTGGGCCTATGCCCGGACATCCCCTGCAAAAAAGCCTGAAAATTCGCGAAAATTTACAACATGCAGAACGAACTGAGACAGGGAATAGAATGGCAAATGAAAACATGCAACAGAAATAAAAGAACAATATTCAGCATTAGAAGTAAATAAAATAATGTATTGCTTATGATGTGATAAGTAAACCAGAAATAATAAAAATCGACAGTGAAAAATCATACGAATTTAGGATTTCCCCGCCGACAAACACGACCAATATGCGTGAACTCAAAATCTTTCTGTATTTCCATCTGGAAGCTCGGCATTTTGATATTGAACTATAAAAAAGAGAATTTGAAGTTCAAAATCAAATCATTTAATTTTTGCAGCAGACATTCACTCAGCATCTTCAAAGCATTATGTGAGATCTTGCAGCGAACAGAAAATCACCTATTCTTCACCTTCCAATTTTGTTCTGACACCAATTGCGATAATGCCCTCCCTCTTTAATTGCAAATCTCAATAAAATAAAATTTTGTACACATGTACCTAGGTGGCAGTGGTGAAGTGGTTAGTGTGTTTGCTTCACTCATTTTCGCCTGCAATTAATTTTCGCTGTTTTCGCTGAGTGGATGCTTCAGTGAAAATAAAATCCAGTGAATATACTTTTTTTTAGCTCCGCTGTCGACTTTGTCGAGCGGAGCTTATCATATGAGTGATTGTCCGTCGTCGTCCGTCGTCTGTGTCAATGTTTTACTTTTTCGACTTCTTCTTGAAAACTACAAGCCTGAATGCTTTGATACTTGGTGTATATGTACCTTGGGCAGACCTCTCTCAGATTTGTTCATTTCATGATCATATCTTCAATTCTCTAATTTTGGTGAGTATTTTTGTAATTTTTGGTAAAAAGTGATATTTTCGACTTCTTGTTAAAAAACGCATGTCCAATTGCTTTGATATTACATATATAGGTACTACATGTGGATCTCTCTCAGATTTGTTCATTTTGTGATGATATCTTTAGTTCTCTAATTTTAATGAATATTTTTGTCATTTTTGGTAAAAAGTGATATTTTCAACTTCTTGTTAAAAACCGCAAGTCCAATTGCTTTGATATTACATATATAAATACTACATGTGGACCTCTCTCAGATTTGTTCATTTTGTAATGATATCTTTAATTCTCTAATTTTGGTGATTATTTTTGTCATTTTTGGTAAAAAGTGATATTTTCGACTTCTTGTTAAAACCACAAGTTCAATTGCTGTGATATTACATATATAGGTACTACATGTGGACCACTCTCAAATTTGTTCATTTTGTAATGATATCGTCAATTCTCTAATTTTGGTGAATATTTTTGTCATTTTTGGTAAAAAGTGATATTTTTCGACTTCTTGTTAAAAACCGCATGTTCAATTGCTTTGATATTACATATATAGGTACTACATATGGACCTCTCTCAGATTTATTCATTTTGTAATGATATCTTTAATTCTCTAATTTTGGTGAATATTTTTGTCATTTTTGGTAAAAAGTGATATTTTCTTCTTGTTAAAAGCCACAATCATTTATGATGAAAAATGATATTTTTGAATTCTTGTTGAAAACAGCAAGTCCCATTGCATTGATACTATGCATATTGTTCATTTTCTAATGATATCTTCTGTTCTTTAATTGAAATGTGCATTGCTAACAGCAGAGCTATCTCAGCCGACAGGCTGCTTGTCTATATTTCACATTCAACTTATGTAAAATCAGTGAAAATAAATTCCATACAAAACATCCAAAAAGTCTTTTCAGCAAAAATTAATTCCAGCTAAAATATAGTATTTTATAATATTTTCACATGTACATGTACTCACATGCCAACCAGTTTTAATAGTACCGTAGTTAAATACAGTGTTTGAATACTGGTAATAACAAAATAAACATAGCGCTCATGTAGATGAGGGGTGTGGAGTTTGGTTTGTATTACACTGCTACAGTAATTATTATTTTAACAATGTTTGAAACGCCAAACAATGGCAAACATTTATAACCAAAACCCATGAAATACTGTAGAATGCTTTATTTTAGCTGGAATTAATATGTTCGCTGAAAAGACTTTTTGAGTGTTTTCTGTGGAATTTATTTTCACTGATTTTCGACGAATTGAACATAAAATATAGGAAAAAATGCTTATTCACTGGATTTTTTTTTTCACTGAATCATTCCTTCAGCGAAATTAGCGAAAATTAATTCTAAGCAAAAATAAAGTATTTTACAATTTATAGATTTTCCAACCTTTTACCCCAATTTCTCCCCGGAAACATAAAGTACAACATTTGTGACTTGTGAAATTCAAAAATGGCATTCTTAAGACAGGACTATTATGAACCCTTATACTACAATAATGCCTTAAACATTAAATCCTACTCATTCCAAAAAAAAATGTTGATGTTGGTACAATGAATTTTAAATTTATTTAGTTTTTCATGAAGCCATGTATTCCTTTTTCAAAGACCGGGACTGTGGCATTTACTTCTTGTTTGTGATAATATCAGTTCTGTTACAACATGTCAGTAATGAGCCGCACATGAAAAGAGTTATTCACTGTACATGTTATTAAATTAAAATTATAGTGTAATTACCATCAAAATGTCAACAGTAATTGAATTTTTATAATTGGGTAATTATGACATTTGTCCAGTACCCGTATGTTCAACTCAAATATTGAAATTTTCTGTCAGAATTTGTTAGTTTAAAATGTGTTTTTTGCCAATTTTGCATACAGTGTTTGCTTTATTAGTATCACGTTTCCAAAAAAGTGCAAATAATGTAAAATATTTTTTCTTGGGATATGTTTTTGCTATTTTCCCTGAAGGGATTATTTACATGTTCATGTGGAATAAATTTTAATAAATTACTAAAAACTAAAATAGCAAGATTGAAAAACAGTTAAAACAAATTAATGCGTTTACAGAACTTGTATTAGTTATTTTGACCATGGAAATACCTGTAAGTCAATTCACTACTCATGAAACAATGTAATACTTTGCCAAAATTACTTCTGATACATCAAATTATAATACATCTGTCACCGTAATGCCATAAGTTACAGCGTGTTGTATTTTCCAGTATTTTACAAGGATATTTTCATCCTACCATATTAGGAAATCCGAATTCCAAATATGGAATGATTACTCACGTAAGCGTCCTCTAATAATATAAAACATGGCTACCGCCAGAGTTTGATTCTGTTCTAAACATTTTGGATTTCGACATTCCCATGGTGTTTCCTTGGGAGGAAAAGATGTATAATAATAAGGTTATTACGAGAATACCTCAAAGTATGCACTCAGACCTCCACTGTGCGTTGGTCGATACTCCCGCTGTACTGGCTTGGTGCATACTTTAAGGTATCCTTGTAATAACCTCATGTTAATAGTATAGTGTTAAAATACTTTGCTATATGCATTGATCGATTAAAATTAGGAAGAAAAGACAAATGTCAATATCAGTTCTTCATACTGTAAAATACTTTATTTTCGCTGGAATT